CGTGACTTCCGTCCCATTGGTCAAAGTCAAATCCAATATCCTCACAAATAAATCTTTTGATCAAAGACTGAATATTCAAAAAAGTTTAATTAAAACAAATTTTATTTTATTTCTATTTATATAATACCATTAATTTAACAGTAACTTTAGAAGTTATAATTTAATGAATTTAGAGTTTTTTTTTTTAGGATAAGCATATCATCATATAAATGATATGATGATCTAGATAGAGATAAACATGTTAGAGATATAATATCTATCGTAGCTATCTACTTGTATCACATTCTTATTTAGAGGGCTTTTGATTAATGAGAATCACATATTCATTCTCTTCATTCTATTGTTGTTTTCTGTCAATTATTCTATAACATGTTATCAGCACGATGCTCGTTGCCTATCTGTCACTTCATCAAGGTGATATTTATGGACATAAACATCCAGAATGCGAGTCATTGACTTATTTTATGGTTATGGTTGACGAATTGACACGATGAATGCACGTCACACTATTGTTCACACGAAACGCTGCATTCGTAAAACTCCTAGTACAAATTATATATACATTTGAGGGCTCACCACCATGATTATCCTATCAAGTCTATACGACTTGATAATGTTGGAGAATTTACATAGCAAGCATTTGATGATTATTTTATGTCCATTGGGATCTATGTAGAGCATCTCGTACCCCACGTATATACACAAAACAGCCTTGCAGAAACTACTATCAAAAGGATAGCATTCTCAGTGAACTTGTTAGCTAAATTTAGCTCGGTACCAATGCAATGTGATTGGAATGGTATCGAGAATATATTTCGATACCTACATGCATATATGAATATAATGCAGCTTGTATCGAACAAATTAAAGTAGGATATATCAAGGGTGATAATACAAAACATATTTCGTCAAAGTTTTTCTATAATCAACAACATATTCTCCTTAAGATTCAAGTGAATCAAGTAAGGTATAAGGAGAATGTGGCTGATTTGTTTACCAAATCATAGACTAGGGCCACATATGAAAAACATGTGGAAAACATTGAAATGCAGAGACTTTCCAAACTCCCTTGATTAATATATGTATCAGGGGAGTAGCAGACAAAAAGAGGAGTCTACAAGTAATATATGTAAAATTGGTATGTTGTGTTATTTCCTTCATCCAAAGTTTTATTTTTTTCATTGGGTTTTGTTTCTTATGTAAGATTTTAGTGAGACAACAATTTACATACCAAATTTCTTTCCTAACGCTCATGATTAATGTACGAATTTAAAAGAATATTATAGTAAAAGAAAAAGTCTATGTATTGCAAGGAAACTGGTGCGCTGTACTCTTTCGTTCGTCATAATTTTATTTTTTTCTGTTGGTTTTTAGATTGGCGTAAGGTTTTAACGAGACAACAATTGTGCACCATCATCACTCCTTTGACTCTCGACACAAGGAGGAGTGTTGTATGATAAGTGTGTTATCGTCTGAAGAATATGACGATATAGATAGAGATAAACATATTAGAAATATATTATAACTAATATCTATCGTAACTATCTACTTGTATCACATCCCTATTTAAAGGGCTTTTGATTAATGCAAATTACAAATTCATTCTCTCCATTCTATTGTTATTTTATGTCAGTTATTCTATAACATTTTTAAATTTTTGTAGAGATTTAAGCGGCTGTTTGTTTACCTTTTAATAGTTTTATTAAGAGACATTCTCTGAATCGCTAAGGGGTAAATCTTATTTGACAATTTTTTTGCCTCTTAATGGATCTAAAACTATTTGAATGATTTTGTATCTTGAGCCTCCATTAACCAGTCAGCGCACTAATTTCATTCTAAATAAGTATTAAACAATTACATTTCATTTTACACTACATCATAAAAGTCTATTAATTAACCACAAGGGTGGTGCTTGATTAGTTTGAGCTTGGCTCCAAATGTCAAAAGTATCAGAAAGTCCCATGTTCAAATCCAAAGAGAAATAAAAATCTTCTTGTGGCCACGGAGGTTCAAATGCGGTGACTCCGCGATATCTGCAAAGCAGGTGGTCGTCCTGGAATTAGTCGGCTCACATAGCGAGTTGGATATCTAGGTTGATAAAAAAAAGTCTTAATCATTGAATACTAAACCATTAGCAACTGCCAAACAGTCCATAAGAAAAATTTGCTTCAATAATAATGTTAAACTCTCCTTTAAAACAGAGAAAGAAAAGGAGAGAATGAAAAAATCTCCAATTTTTTTTTTAAAATATGGCCTCTTGGAGATAGTTATTTACCGGTTTTCTTGCTCAAAAAATTATCAAAATTCTAGAACAATGGAAACTTGTAAATAACCTATCATCAATAAATCAATAGCTTTTATACATGTTTAATGAAACTTTAGATTTACGATATAAAGTAGCAGACATTCAAATACATGTAGAGGTGAGTGTTAGGGATGGTGATTTGCCCCGATCCGGTGTGGAACCCGGTTCATCCGACCCGAACGGGGACGGAGATTCCTCGCTAAAACGGGTCCCGGGACCGGGGATCCCCGGTAGGGGACGGGGGATGTTACTCAAACGGGGACGGGGCCGGGGATCCCCGGTAGAATCAAACTGAATAATACTATTTACGGGGTTTGACCGGGGATTGACCGGGGTTTACCGGGTTTTGATCGGGGATTGCTAGAGATTTGACTGGGGATAGGATAATAATCCTCGTATCCGTCGGGGACCGGGGCCGGGCCCGGGGGACGTTACTACATACCGGGGCCAGGGTTGGGGATTACAAAACCCGCCCCATCCCCGCCCCGTTGCCATGCCTAGTGAGTGTGAAGGCTCAGAAACCAGTTATGTCATGGATCTAGAGCAAGACGGCTCATATTATGACAAGCTAATTAAAGAGAGACAGGTTAAGGAACAATTCTAAGTGATCGGTCCCTAATATCAATATATACAATTTTGCTTAAATAATAAACTTGCAGTAAGTTTATAAGACCAATTTGTTTTTTAAATAATCATGTAATGTTCTTCAATTGATCAATTCACCTTAAATTTAATCGGTCCCAAATGCCAAGTTAAAAAGTCGGTTAGACAAGTCCATATCAATCATGCATTTTAAATTAGGCTTGATTAAAAAAAATGATCGTTATGACACTGCTGATTTAATGATTACGTTTTTTTAATAAGACTAGTTATAACGAGGTAAAGAATCGATGATAATTGACATTGGATGCCATTTGAAGTCGGTAGGGGAGTTATGATTTTGGACATTAGGTTTATGTTTTGTTACCACTTGTGATCTCTTAACCTAAAATAAAACGAAAAATGAAAAAGAAAATTTAATTAAATTGAATTGGTAAAATTATATTTGTAGACTACGAGTGTGAATGGTACGAAACAATTCGTGAGCTACTTGAAATCGATTCGGTCAACACTCGACTCGACATATTAACAACTTGAGTTGAACTACCCAATACTCATTTCGAAAAGCTTGTGAGATTGTGGGTTTTTAGTAAAATTTGTGAAATATAATATACAAAATTGTAACATTTTTTAACTATAAAATAACTCAAAAATTAACATATTTGAATAAATTTGTACATTTTGAACTATAAAATAACTATAGAAGTTTTTGTAACTTTTGTGTTTGACAACATCTTTATGAGTTCCAAATCCTTGCCAAGGATTACACGTGGCAAAAGAATTTTTGGAATTAAAATACTTTGCACGTAATCATCGACCAATAAAAACACGCCACTCCAACTAAATTGTCGCAGTTACGATTAAATAAGTTTAAATTTCTTTTCTCAGTTGAATTAATGAAGTAAACTACAAATTTGGTCCTTGTCATTTGTCTAAAATAACACTTTTAGTCTGTTTAGTTTTTAAATTATAAGAATAACATCATATTTTGTAAAATATATTCGGATTTGATCCTATTTTTAATGACCATTAAAAGATTTCGTTAACAAAGAACCATTTTTTGACTTTTTATCAACTTTTGGTTTGTACCCAAATAAAAACCACAAGAACCAAAATCATAAAATTGATTTTGCTTGAATAAAAGACAAAAAATCAATAAAATGATGAAAATGCAACTCATTTAACAAATTTTTTTAATGATAGCTAGAAGGAGGGACTAGACTCAAACATTTTTGCAAATTATAATGACCATCTTTTAATTTTAAAAATGTATAGACGAAAAATGTTAGCTTCAACAAACCACGTGGACCAAATTTGTAGTTCACTCTAATTAAAGTGAATAACTAGGGATGTTCATTAGGGTGAGTTAGAGGGGAGAGACAAAAAACCTGATCGAATTTCAAAGTTATAAACTGTATTTACCTCCCTATCTTTTTATAGCATGTCTTCACCCTTTCTTTATTCTTTCTCATTCAAATGTAGGACAACTTTACTAATAGTTTTATAGTTTTTTTTTTTTTGTCTTTTTTAATTATGATTTTGATAATAAAAAAATTTATTAGTTTTTTTAGCTGAAAAATGCACAGTTTGTTCAAATATTTAAAAATATAAGACAACTTTATTATATTATATATTACAAATTATATTATAAATCTGATTATATTTTAAACTAATTATATATATAAAAATTGAATATCTCACGAGCTTTTTGAATCGAGTATTGAGTAGCTCGACTCGTTAATATGTCGAGTTAAGTCTATTCGAGTCGAGTGGTGAACTAATTTTGACCAAATAGATCTTGAAGAGCTCACGAGCTATCTCGTATCCTATATGCTCCTAGCAATGGGGTAACTGTTTAAAATATATTTTTTCATGTTAATTATTAACTCGTAAGTATTAGAAATATAAAATTGAATATTTGTTTGTACAAATTAAGTTTAAATTTATGTTAAAATAGAATGGGATTTATTTATAATTGTTTACTATTTTACTCCATTATACTTACAACTTACAAGTATATGAAATAGGAATTAACCAAAACACAAAAATAACATTAAATTATAATCATAAGAACGAAAATCCTAATTTCTAAATCATCGCGCCTAATTAAGCTTGCAAAAAAGCTCATCAGCCGACGCCGTTACTTTGTCAGCCGAGCCGCCTCGTGCTTTGTTTCCCTTTTCCCTCCCCTTTTCGGTAGCTTATTGCCATCTTCAAACACACGAAACAGAGTCCTCGGAGAATTCTCGCCGGGATCATCCCACGTTTCCAGTCCTTAGAAACTATCTGATGATCAATTTCAGGCCGGCGGAGGCTCTCCCTTCGTCGACGGAGACGACGAGTAGTTCCGCTGTGGCTGCAGAAAAAGCGATTTCGTTCATATCCAAGGGATGGAGAGAAGTGAAAGATTCGACGGAAGCGGATCTACGGTTGATGAAAGATAGAGCAGAATCGTTCAAGAACCTAGCGTCTTCTTTTGATCGTGAGTTTGAGAACTTTTTGAATTCCGCATCGAAATCGTCTTTTCCTGTTCTGGTGACATCGTCATCCCCTTCTCCGGCGGAGATCGATTTCATGAGACGGTGGCAGCCGAAGATTTCTGATATTTCCCGGACGTACTCTTCTCCGGATTTTAGTAGGAGAGTTCTGAAGAAGTGGAGGCCAAGGGCGAACATAAGGATCGATTTGTCAGCTATAAAGAACGCGATTGTATCTGAGGTGGAGTTTGATGATAGAGAAGCGTATCAGAGGAGAGCAAGGACGAGGGTAAATAATTTTAGCTGGGAACTGGAAGGAGAAGGCGACCAAGGGCAGCTTCTTGGGCATTGGGAGCGTATTAGGGCTTTCAAAACGCGCTTAGGGGAATTAGAGAAAAGGAGTTCATCGTCAGAAATTATCGAGGGGCTCAAGAACAGCCGGTTTGTGGTGAAAGTTAAATCTAGTTTGGTAAGTATCCTAAGTTCCTAAACCTCTTTCGACTTCATTCAGCTAATATGTGTACTAAGATGATAGAATCTGTGGGAGACATTAGGTAATTGTATAGTTGGTACTCCAATTGCAATAAGACAGACATGGTCTTCTTAGGGATTTCATATGCTTGTGATGAAGATATGAAGAGTTTTTGTTCATACTTCACACACCTTGCTTCTATATGCAGTTTCCCCTGTCAAAATTGTAGGTTATGATTTTGGAATCCAATCACCTTGCTCAATTCTTTAGCACTGTTGAATGGAAATGTCTTTTTTATCTACAGAGATTAAATGATTAGGTAATTCTCTACTATTTGGAGAAAAGAGATCGTGTAACATATTCAATAATTGGTACAAAACCGAGCTGGATTACACTAAGGTTTTTTCAAGCTCATTTTAATTTGGCTGAGTAGATATATATAGTTATATACCAACACTTCATGAAAAGCTGAATACTGATATGTGTTTATGTACATATGAATATATACTATATAGTTATTTAGTGTTGGCTTCTATTTTGAACATTTATATCATCTGTACTTGATTAAGTTGGAAATCACTTTCTTTCTTAAACTCCTTTTGAATGTAATGTGCTGAAAATGGTGGAATTGTTTAAGTGGTAGTCAAGTATGAGTTGCTTTTCCTCTTCATTCCAAAAGTAAGAGGTCCTGGTATTATTTTATTGTGTGAGGTGTAATGATGATTTTATTTCTTTTTAGTCCAAGCTCTACAAAAAAACCTGTATTCTAATAATTTGCTGTTTTCAGAATTGTATTTAATGTAGAAAGAAGTCACTTTTCCATTATGAGATTATCATTTCTAAAAGTAGTTTTTACTAATTTCAATTGGGTGGAAGAAATGGAGCTTCAGCATAAAGGGGAGAAAATGATTGTGGAAGTACGTAACCTGGATTTGAGACGCTTACGGGTTCTTTGTTTGAGCCCTCACCATCTGTTGGCACTTAGGTGTTCATTTTGTTTTGGATAAATGGGGTTTTGGTTATCATATCGATGTTAATGATACTAATGTGACTGTCCAAAGTTTCCAACAAGATGTGTATATGTCGGATTTGTCAGACATAATTATAATGCTACTTAAAATAGTTATCCGTACATTGATGTTGTCTAATGTTTGAAAAGTCAGTGAGATCACTTATTATATTCTTCTAACTTGAAAATGGTAATTTATTGTGACCAGTAGTTGAATTTTTATTTTAATCAACAGACCATTATATTCTCAATTTTCTATTTATCTTGCAGAAAGCAATTTGCAAGGAACCAGACAATTTAAAGGTATGAATTTATATTTGGCCCAGAAAACTACTTGCATTATTTTTTGTGTTCAGTCTTTATCTTCCTCTATCTCCTTGTTATCAAATCATTATATCTTTTATTTTAACAAGGTGCTTATTTTAGATGCAGTAAAAGTCATTAACATAAGTAGCAGAGACACACTGTCTTCAAGTAAAAATCAAATTGTGTGATATGATGCTTTTGCTAATTGGTTTTCTTTGTACAGAGATTTATTGGTCTTTGATTATTTGATTAATAACTTGTATTTTATTATCATATTCAATACTATTTGCTCAGCTATCACTTCATACCAATATCCTATATAGATTTTAAACTGCTTATTAAACAAGAATTGACATACTTTTTGGACAGAGGTGGTTTGCATTATATTATAGCAGAAAATCGTTATGTTCAATCATTTGATTTCGTTTTCGTTTCATGTCTCAGGACGTTCCGCCCTTGGACATCCCAGAACTTTTAGCATATTTGGTTAAGCAGTCCGTCCCGTTTTTAGATCACTTTGGTGTTAAGAGAGGTAATTAAATTTTCTTTTTCATTATGACTTCATTCTTTCTAGACTTTCTGATGCTGTGCTTATTTATCCATCATTCTTTCTAGACTTTCTAAACATATATTTTGGTGTACCGTGGCAGATGTCTCTGACAAGATAGTGGAAAGCTTGTTTGGGAAAAGGAAAAACCAACTTTTGTTAAGGTCATTTCATCCCAGAGAGCCATCGATTCCTGAAGGTGATAATGTTATCGATGAACTAGATTCAAGAGTAGCTAGTGTGCTTCAAAGTACAGGACACCATTATGAAGGTGGATTATGGACCAACCTTGGTAAGCATCAGATATCCGATTCCGATGGGAAAAGGCATGTGGCCATCGTCACAACTGCTAGTCTTCCTTGGATGACTGGGACTGCTGTAAATCCACTGTTTCGAGCAGCATATCTGGCAAAATCCAAAAAGCAGAGCATCACACTATTGGTTCCTTGGCTCACCAGAGGAGATCAAGAATTAGTTTATCCAAACAACATTACTTTCAGTTCACCGGCGGAACAAGAAGCTTATATTCGCAGTTGGCTTGAGGAACGAGTGGGTTTTAAGGCTGATTTCAGAATATCCTTCTATCCAGGAAAGGTAGTTCTCATATACCATTTTTAGTATTCCATGAGCTTTTTTATGCTGATTGCTGACTACAAAAAAACGACTTTATAAGATGCCAAATATGTCTAAGTGTCCAAATATGTCTAAGTGTCTTAATAGACAGCTTTATATAACTTTTTTTATAGGACCAATTGTGCATTCTATATAAAATGTTACAATAAGTTGATAAGACACTTTTCGACGTCCTAACAAGTTTTTAGGAATAAAGTGTCCTATTAGCTTTTTTAAAGACATTTTTTACCAGTCTTCCATATACATTTCTATTTACAGTACACTTGTTTTTATAAGACACTTTTGCAAATAATATCATATAAAAATACCAATAGGATGCGTTATTTCAGAAGTGTCCTAAAAATTTATTAGGATGCTCAAAACATCATATAAACTTATTGTGACACTTTTACGTCCTATCATGCAGTCTATTGCACTTGGACAGATTTGGCGTCCTATAAAGCTCATATTGTGTTAGTGACTGAAAGTTGTACTGACAATATGGATGCATTTCTCACCGTTCAGTTTCAAAAAGAGAGACGTAGTATTATACCTGCTGGAGATACTTCAAAGTTCATTCCATCCAAGGATGCCGACATTGCGATCCTTGAAGAACCCGAACATTTGAATTGGTACCATCATGGTAAACGCTGGACTAGTAAATTCAATCATGTCGTCGGAGTTGTTCACACGAATTACTTGGAGTACATCAAGAGGGAAAAATACGGAGCTCTCCAAGCCTTCTTTGTGAAGCATATAAACAATCTGGTTACAAGAGCTTACTGTGATAAGGTACCGAGTAAACTACGAATGTCCCAATCCTCTAATTTATATGAACTTGTCGATCTAGAAGACGGTTAATATTCTTATATTTTAAATATTTTATGTTTAGGTTCTTCGTCTTTCTGCTGCAACACAAGATTTACCCAAGTCTGTAATTTGTAATGTTCATGGTGTGAACCCAAAGTTTTTAACAGTTGGGGAGAGAATGGCTGCAGAAAGAGAAGGTGGGCAGAATTCGTTCTCAAAAGGAGCTTATTTTTTGGGCAAGATGGTTTGGGCCAAGGGATACCGGGAGTTGATAGATTTACTGGCGAAACAAAAAGATGACCTTAATGGCTTCAGACTTGATGTTTATGGGAATGGAGAAGATGCTCATGAAGTACAAACTACGGCCAGTAGGTTAGACTTGAACATTAACTTCATGAAAGGCAGAGATCACGCTGATGATTCTCTTCATGGGTAAGAATTATCATCTTAGTAACCAAATGAACTCAACATGTCCCAACCGGAGGTGGGGTCTGACCTCCATAGAAGCATTCCTATGGATAAAGATGTCTGTGTGCATGAATTTGTCTGTATAGATTGGAAAAGTTTTTGTTTAAGAGAGTTTTTCATAGCTAAAATGAACATGTCTTTTAATTGGGAGGACGGGTTTGGAAAAAAAACTTGGCTTTCTGCATGATGCTCTCCCCCAGAAGCTTACTGAATAAGCTACTTTCAATATGCTACTACCAAACAGTCAATAAGCTGTGAGTCTCATTAAACTGCTAACAACCAGTCTCTCATTGTCTTTTATATGATCTTGCAGTTACAAAGTGTTCATAAATCCGAGCGTGAGCGATGTGCTCTGTACGGCCACTGCCGAGGCGCTTGCGATGGGGAAATTTGTAGTATGTGCCGATCACCCATCGAATGAGTTCTTTACATCATTTCCCAACTGTTTAACTTACAAGACACCACAAGAGTTCGTAAACAAAGTGAAAGAAGCCATGGAAAACGAGCCACATCCTCTTACTGGTGAGCAACAATACAAGCTCTCATGGGAAGCTGCGACCGAGAGGTTTATGGAGTATTCTGAGCTTGAGAAGATACTAGTAAATGATAGCGAGAAAAGTAGGTCGAAATGGGTGGACGGAGGGTTGGCTTTTGGTCATTATTGTTTTACTGGGAATGAAGTGTTGAGGCTGTGCACAGGGGCGGTACCTGGAACTCGGAATTACGACAAGGAGCAATGTAATGATCTTAATCTTGTACCTCCACAAGTAGAAAACCCAATCTATGGCTGGTAAATTAGATTGAATAATTGATGATATGATATTTCTTTATATGTACAGATACCAGTTGAATTTGTAGTTAGTTTGTTTTAGATATGATCAAATTAAGAAACATACGCTTACTTACATACATATGTTTATGCTTACAAAATCCAACCAAAGGTATACATAGATCAATCATTTCCAAGGCTACTTCAATTAAATTTCGGTACGAGATCAATATGTAACTGTAGGTAGGGGTGAGGGAGGGTCGGGTCGGGTCGGGTCGGTTATGCCCCCAAAATCCTAAACCCTATTGGATTTCGAGGGGAAATGTTGGAACCCAAAACTCACATAAAGACCAATACCCATTATTATTTAAGAGAAAACGGAAAGCTATGGTTGCAGAAACTGGATTCGAGTTTGAGGTTATTTTTGTATTCTAGGCAACTAGTCGAGGCAGAGGCGGCGGTGATGATGAGCAGGGCCGCGACGGTGACGATGACCAAGAAGAGGGTATTGGGAGCGCGTTGTTGACAAGGGTATATCAATCTTATCGATATCATCATCTCATAAGTATCATACCAAATTCCATCAAGGGTTGTTTGGAATAAGTTAGTACCAATGGGCCGACCAATTAAATCATGATCAATATAGATAAGTCATAAGCAAACTAGCTGATCGATTAATCTATATAGCCTATTAAGCCCAATAAGCCATAAACAATCAGCCCCTAAAGTGTTTGTTCATACTCTTCCTTCCAATAAGCCAGGGACTCTACGTAAAAGGCGCTTTACTCCTTTACGGATATTAAACTTGACCGTTTTGTCCCTCAATTTAAATGGTATTTATTTTTTATTTTATTTTATTATTATATATTAATTAGTTTTTTTAATTAAAAAATTGGTTTATTTTAATTAATATAGATTAATATAACAATATATGTATGATATTGAAGATTTAACTAATTGATTTGAACATTTGGTTGGTGTATAACCATTAACCAATCACTACAATAAAATCCGGTTTATATAATGCCTACAATATTTAAATGTTTTAATAGAGTGTTTTATAGAAGTTATATTTATAAAATTAAAGAATAAAGTGTCATATCTAAAAGTGTTATAATAAGTTTATCATACGTTTTTAGACGTCAAGTTTTTAGGACATTTTAATATAAAATATCGTATTAGCTATTTTAGAAGTGTCTTATAACCTATCTTTTTACAAGTCACTTGAGTTTATAGGATGTCTTTTTTAAATAATGTCCTATGAAATAACTAATAAGACATTTTATCTTAAAAATGTTTTAAAAGGTTTGTTTCGACGCCAAAAAAAACGTTTTATAAACTTATTGTAACACTTTTATACAAGACTTTTATTTTTTGTTCTGTAAGGCACTCTATTAGGACACACGAACACTTTAAACGTCCTATAAACTCAATTCTGTTGTAGTGAATGTTATTGTTTGTCACCAAGAAAAGTTGGAATATATACGTTCTGGGACCGATTACTCAATAAACATTTATCCAAGTAATCGATTTCAAATGGAAGTTCTTGCTTTTAAGTTCACAATGTTTGTCAATAATTCTAAAATTTATCATGAAATTAGGCCAATAAGAATTAGAAGAAAATGTTTATTACATCTTAATTTTCCTATTCTTATTTTTTTGTCATGAAAGTAAATGAATCTTTAAATAAGGAGGACTTATCTAGTTGTTTAGTGAAACTAGTTAGTAGTCTGTTTGTTTATTAAGAGGTGATAAAGTCTGAAATCTTATTTCACCTCTTATTGATAAGAGGTGGTGCTGCAATTTGAAACCAGAATCAATAAAACTGTTTGTTTCTGTAAATTGATAAATGTCTGAATTTGTTTTAAATCATCTATTTTGTCTATTAGAAAATTATAGTATTGAATCTATAGATAAATTTATACAATTTCACATATTTATTCATCGTCATTATGAAATTACATAATTAACATCCATTTAAACGAAAGTATGTCATTGACGGTATTTAAGACGTTTAAATTCTATTAAAATACATCAACCAAGAGAAGTGAGGATCGATTTGGTAAGAATCACTTGAAAATAATGATCCATTAAGGTTAATCGATTAAAAAACGTCATTGCTGAGTGTTTGAAGAACAATAATAGAAAAATAACAGGTTGGTTTACCTCTTACCAGATAAATTTAAGACACGTAAACACATCATGAACACAAAACCCAAAAACCATTTATAGCACGCATTGTCTACGCCTCTGTTTACCAAGATGATATGATACTATCTAAAAGAAACCGAGTCAGAGAAAAAGCTAAAACAGACTTCGAAGAAACAACGAGGGGATTGAAGCTGAATGCCTTCTTAAGACTTAGGAAAAAACCACGAGCACAATACAACAAGGTGGTGAACCAACAAAACGCAACGGCATGGCCACAAGGATGTCTTTGGGATTATTAAAACGGATTAGAGTCAACAACATACTGAATGCAAGATATAATTAACTTTTGAAAATTAAACACTTATAATGTTTTAACATATGTTTGAAATTTATGTTTGATAAAAAGTACCATCAGTGATAGAAACATTTAAGATGAAAATGAAACACAATTTTCAAAACCTATGGTCTGATCGAAATGTTGGTTTGACAAAAAGTCATCGTTATTAAAGTGTATTATATGCATTGAATTAACCACCAAATTATTTAAACAATGTCAAAAGGTTTAATTATAATTTTGATTAGTAGTTATTAGTTTTGTTGAAAAACGGGCGTTACATAAATTAATATTTATTATTAATCCATCGTAATATATTTTAATTAATTTCAAATGTGTTATTTTGTATTTTTTTTAATTGTTTAAGCTTTTCAAAATTAATATTATAACCCATTATTCTTAAAAGATATGATGTTATTCATGTTTATTCTCTAATAACCTCCGATTAAACCATAAGGGTGGTGTCTGATTGGGTTGAGCTTGAGCTCTAAAGGTCAAAGTGTCTGAAGGTCTCAAGTTCAAATTCAAGGAGGAATAAAAATCCCCTTATGGCCACGGAGATTCAAATGCGGTGACTTCGTGTTACCTGCAAAACAGGTGGTTGTCATGGGATTAGTCGGCTCGCATAGCGGGTTGGATATCCAAGTTAATAAAAAAAAACCCCCCTTTAATGACGTACGTAGAAAAAGTACTGGTCCTATGATCTAAACAAAAATAGTTGGCAGATTCTACGTATCACTAAACAAGCGAACAAAAAAGTTAGGTTAATGAAAACCCTAGTTTGTCATAAATTAGTTAGAGGTTGTTTGACAATTGCTGAATGGTTTGGTGCAGAATGATTAAGTAGTTAGAATGATTAAGAGGCTCTCATAATATAGTGCAAAATGAAATATAGTTGTTTGGTAATTGTGTACAATGAAATTAGCGCTCTTAATGGTTAAGGGAGTTCTAGGATACAAAATCATTCAGAGGGTTTTAGAACCATTAAGATGCAGACTTTTTTTTTTTGATAAACAAGATTCACCTCTTAACGATTCAGAGATTGTCTCTTAATGTAACTATTAAGAAGTAAACAAAAAACCCTTTAATTATGGATTCCAAAAAGTAAACCTCAAGAAATAAACAATGCATCTAATATAAAATCCGTTGTTAATTTACGTATTAATTCCTTCGTGTGCGTGACGTATGCAAACTACGTTTTTCCTAATTCCCGTTAAATGTAATTCTTTTCCATAATCGTGTTCAGTTTTCGATTGATTATTTTTATTAGTTAAAATTTATTATTACATACATTTAATCAAACATAATCATATCTTACTAGAAATTAACATAACCCACAAAAATTTCGAATTCGAATATATTACTTTATAATCCAATTAACTTATAAAAGAAGACAATAATCATACATGCAATGGTTTTTAAATAATTATCAAACTAATTTAATGTTTTATTTATGAAATAAACCGTAAAATGCGATGATTAATGCTAAGATATTTAGCAGGTATGACAAATGTTAAGACGTTATTAATTATTAATGTGTGAAAGGGTCCACAATATTTATATTTCACCAAAAATAACAGATTTATCGTTCAACTTTGAACAAACAGAAAGGTTTTCATATGGTTTCAATTTGTTACAGGTTTTAAATATTTTTTTTTCATGCTTTTGTTCATTTATTTATTATTAGGAAGTGTTTGATTCAGACAAAAGAATAAAAATAAAAATAACACATAATAAATTTTCATTCTCAACAATTAAACTAATAATAAAAATTTATATCATATAAAACCAAAATTTATTTTTATTTTTATTTTTATTCTCATTGATTATTAATTAACACTTTTCTTCTTCTTCATGCTTTTATTGGCATAAAACGAAATAAAGACGCTTAGATCTTTTTTGATATATTCGTTCTAGAACATTTATTGTCTTGTTTATATTTTTTATAAATAAAAATATAACTAGAAGGGTACACGTGCAATGCAGCGAGATACATTTTGATTTTAATATTTCATTTTATTATTTATCTCAGTCGATGTTATATTATGGTCTTATGTGATTTAAAAAAAAATGATGATGTTTTTATATTTGAATAAAATATAAATTTGAAGATATTATAAAAATTTGACAAAAATATATCGATATTAGTATCAAAATAACTATTTAAAATTCCTATTTTTTGTGTATTTTTTTAATTCAATATTTTTATTATAATTTAATTTAGATTCAATAACGAAGTAATTTATATTTGGTTTAATAATATAATTTCCTTTAAAGATAATAATTAATTATTTTGTTATAACTCAATAATTATCCTTTATATTTTTTATATTTTAAAATGAGATCTTTGTCCTCTATTTGGTTATGTTAATTATCTTCTATTTGGTTATGTTTATCTGCAGTTAGTTACACGAATTCAAACATGGAGCTTTAATAAGTTGTACTTATGCATAATTTACTTGTAATCTTGAATTTTAAGTAATATGCATCAATATACAATACTTCATGCATAAAATATGGGTTTTAAGAGTTTTTGTCAAATGCTTTATAATATAGTATAGATTAAAGATAAAATATTTGAAATTTAGAAATTTTATTGTTTCAGAGGTGTTTGTTTTCAACTTAATAAGTTTAATGA